GCTTCCGCTTTGTCTGCTCGACCCTTCTCGCCCTCCGCAAGCTGCATTTGCTCTGCTGCTCGCGCTCGCGATAGAAGCACCTCGAGCTCCTTCGAGCGTGTGACACACTCGAAATGTCGTTCTCGTAGTTCGTATTGTCGGAGTATGTCCTTTAGGCGTTCTCGAACACTACATAGCGGCCAACTTCAGCTGGGAAAGCGGGGGGAATTCGGAGATGTGCTTACACTCCGTCAAAGATGTCTTCCATCACTTTGCGAGCTCTATACTTCCATCAGCGTTGAGGCCATGTAAATGTCTACAGAGCGCGTACTCTCCGGGGTCTTCCTGCCAGTGCTTCTTCAACAGCTGTCTGCGTGGCTCGCCTCCCTCGTCCTGCATCGCCGTTAGCCTCGCAGACTCTCTTGTAGCGCTAAACACGCACGATCTCTTCCGTGCCGGGCCCTTCTGTCAGATCCATCATCTCTACGGCTAAGATCTCGTCTCCGTCCTCCATGCCTGCCTCCTCCGGCGTCTGATCCACCTCGAGCGTGCGCCCGCCATGGGAAAATATGAACTGCATCGCACCCGCCGAGAGGGTCGACGAGCCCGAGGTGCCGTTGACCTGCTGGCCAGCCGCCGCGGACGTGCCAGAAGGCTGCGACTTGGCGTCGCCCTTCTTCTCGTTGACCTCCATGCGCTCCGTCCACGCGTTGAAGAGCCGCGAGAGCTTCGTCTTGCGCGAGATCTTGAAGAAGAGCTCGGCGCGGTACTTGCAGTGCACCTTCACGACGATGTCGGGCATCTCGCGGTACTTGACGTCCTGCAGCTTGAGCTTCTCCGTCCGTTTCGCGACTTCGAGCTTCATCTGGGTTAGCTGCTTGGTGTGGGGACCGCTGTGAGTCGAAGCGGCGATTGTACAGGCTTCCTGAACGCACCTGAGTGTTAGCCTCCTCCACCGACTGCATCAGTCGCTTGCTGTCCTCCTAGACAAGTGTAAGAATATGCACACAACTGCGTTCCCCTGGATTAGAACCCACTCGTAGCTTCTTGTTATCCTGAAGCAAAGGTGAAAATGTAAAAAGATTCGCATATATTCGCTTTTACCTTCTGCAGCTCTCGAGCTAGGCTCTCCATCTTCGTCTTGGTCTGATTCGCCTTTGTCAGTTGACTCTTGGCTTCATCCAGAGCGTGAATACCGCTGCACAGGCCTAGTGATGCTTTGCGAGGCACTAACCGGCATCCTTGTCCTTGACCAACTTCTGCTTCTCTTTGGCGTGGTCACGCTCTTGTCGCTTTAGCTCTGTGAACTGCCATCTCGAGAACGTCAGGACAGCAAGAGAGCGACAGTGCAAACCTACAAGTTCGACGTATTTCTGATGCACGGCGCTGTCCCCGAGGCCCGCGACGGTGCTCTGTGCCTCTTCCGCTGTGATTGTATGCATGTGAACAGCTGGCGGGTAACGTATGGCAGCTCGCCAGGCGCACCGATTCTCCGTTCTTCCTCCTCGTTGTGAATCTCCTCCTCCTCCAGAGTGGCGATCCGGCTCTTGAGGCTCTCGTACAGCTGTGACGGGTCCACCGGAGGATCGTTCTTCTTCTTGCCCTTCTGTGCATGCGAGTGCGCCCCGTTCACGGGCCCGTTTGGCTGACGATTTGCGGGTGGGGACTGCCCAGAACTGGCCTGTGCATTCGCATTATTTGGCGGAGCTGGCGGCGCGGCAGAAGGGGCCGGAGGAGTCGGACCCGTCGGAGGCGGCCTGGCCTGCCTCGTAGCGGCTTGTGCACCGTTCATGTGGAAATCCTTTTCAGCCGTACCGGAGTAGTCCTGGAATGAACGGGCTGTACTCCGCGAAGGGATGCAGCTGGTGAATAGGCGAAGGAGTCCAATATTTCGTCGCGGCAGTCGGTCAGAGTAGAGTGAGGGTAGGAAGCCAGAGTTAGTCCAAGCCTTGCCGCGCCTGTCGCGCCTTCACACACAACGGTCATCTTGCCTCAGCCACTCATGTTCGTAAACCTCTGCCAACCTCACTCCTGCTCTAGTTCTACATCTATCTGCGAGCGTTGTCTGGATCATACCACTCTTTGTTGTACTTTGGAACCCGGCAAAAAAAACTACTTTCGTCTCGCTTACCAGACATGCAAATCTCGCGTGCTCCTCGCTCCTCGCCTCCTCGCTCGAGTTCCCTTGCCACGCGCTCTGCACCCCATTTATCGCAGATTCGCTCCGAGTTTCCATACTGCTATCCGTCCGACCAGATCGCGGCTGTCTCAGCTGTCTGGCGAAGGCTATCATCGGGGAATTGGATGGGTGTCACTTTGCTGTACGGTCACGTTATGCGCATCTCGCCCGTTGCTGACAGACTGGTACTTTCCTGAGTTCCTAGGACGCATCTGATCACTACTACTTGACATTGAGGCTCACCAAGTTCAGCTAGGCAGGAGTCCTCGTGCCCTTCCCCGTCTCGCCTCCTTTACGTATAACCAAAGAAAACTCGCCAGGAATGTGATCTGCGCATACTTCTATGTGCACCGTGCACGTCTTCTCCGTGTTCGTTATCGATATTCGTATAGGTTGAGGAAGGTGCCTTACGTGCTGTCACTACGAAGTTTTCGATGTCGGTGCGTACTCGGGGGCCATCTCTTCATATCGTGCGTGACTGAATACACTGTCAGGAAAATGCGCATGCATCCTTGTCACCCGACCTCTGCCCATATGTCGCGCGCAAGCTTTGGCGTCGTCGAGCACGGTCTGCCGACTGCCTGTATGCGGTTCATGAGCGCGTCCACATGCACGAAAAACCCTCGCGAGCCTCGATTCTCTCCCGAGCCGCCTGAACCAAGGGTTTGGGACCCACAGCTCGGAACGGGACCAGTACCGTCCGGAATATCCCGTCTGCGTTGTGGAACGGTGTCAGTGTCAAGATCAGTTTCTGAAAGACATGGCTGCGTCTCCCCATGCCCGGACTAACCGTGCCCCGTGTAGAGACGCATTCGTGAAATGTTCAACCGGCGCACTTTGGATGATTATTCGACCTCTAAGAGGGCTCTAGGCCGTAAGGAAGATGTGTGTGTAAGTATCTCTGTTTCCAACGCGCCAGAACTGCGTTGGGACAGCTGCCGTACAGACACCCACTTGGATCCACCAATATGAAGATGCGAAATCATTTGAACGAAACCGTGCGGAGTGATGTTGGCTTTTGCCTTTGATCGGCTGGTTACCACCGCATGCCTAGGGCATAGCGGATATCGTCGCTGTGGTAAGCTGACTATTGGCTGTCTTTCGTTCATTTTTGGTCATTTGACCGTAGTACAGCGTCTGCAGGTTGTCGTAATGCATGGATCGGATCCTAGTGGCAGCTTCTCCGCTGCGCCCTACGGCACCATGGCGCGCCAGACGGGATGGAACCTGCCTAGTCTGATACAAGTGCCTCATGGCATCGAGGTACGGAGATTGCTTGATGTTATCTTCACAAGCAACCATACGAATCCGGCCCTGCAACAAGCATAAATAGCGCTCTATGCTGAGGGTGAAAAAATGTCCTGGCGCGAGCACTGTGGCACAGGGTCGGCGAGCGCACCGCCCAACTTAGGGCTAGCCCACGTGGGAAATTGCTAGACGCCGAATTTCGCGCCCTCGTTCGGCACGCGTTTGGCACCAACGCAGCTTCGAAAACTTATGCCGAAAAATAGTGTCTAAACAGTTGAACTTCCCCTCCTTCACATGCGAGATGTTTGCCTTATTCGCCATCTCCGGGAGATCCCCAGCTCTCCTTTATAAATCGCCCGCTCTCCTCTAAAAATCGCTCGCTCTCCTCCTCTCCGAGCATCCCCCTCTCCCCCTCGCCCTCCCCCAGGATAGCCCGTCATGCTTAGACGCGTAGCTTCACTGTCGTTCCTCACCCTAGGGTTGTTGTCACGCCTCGCTCTCGGTGACAACCCGATTAACCCTGGCTTTCCCTACGGGTCTGAGAAAGGTTGGTTGCCCTCGTCCGTCGCCACTACTGCCGTCGATAGCTCATTTTTCACATTCACTCAGTTCGTGGTGTGAACTTGGGAGGATGGCTTGTGCTTGAGGTGTGCACCACTGCTGTTTTCGTCTTGGCGTCGTCGCTGAGTTGGTACTAGCCATGGATCACACCCAGTATCTTTGACAACACCGGCAACCCCAACATCGTTGATGAATGGACGTTCTGCCAAATGCAAGACCGCAACACCGCGATGAGCGTTCTGACCAACCATTGGAACACCTGGTGCGATCCATGTCACCGTCTCCACTAAACGCCACAATTGACTTAGCTCGCTTAAGGATCACGGAGTCCGACTTCGCTGCCATCGCTGCTGCCGGGTATGTCCACGTGATCGCGTCAATATCATCTCGCGTACTGACCGATATTCATCCGCTGTTAGATTGAACCATGTCCGCCTTCCGATCGGCTACTGGGCTTTTGAAGTTGGCCCCGGGGAACCATACTGCACTGGTCAGCTGCCTTATCTCCAGCAGGCAGTCAGTTGGGCGGAGACCTATGGGCTGAAGGTTATTGTCGACTTGCACGGCGCTCCCGGTAGCCAAAACGGGTATAGACATGCTGTAACGTGTTCCAGGACGTAGAGAAGCTGATACGATCTCGGCAGCTTCGACAACTCCGGCCAAAGGCTCTCATTCCCCGGTTGGCACTCGAATGCGACCAACGTTGCTCGTACGGATGCTATTATCAAACAGATTGCTTCGATGTTCGCTGGCCAGGAGAACGTCGTGCCTATCATTGCTCCTCTGAACGAGTGGGTCGTGTCGTGGTATATCTATCACTCGTTGTTGCTGATCCCCTCGTGTTAGGCCAGCCGGTTTTTGGATGGTCAAGCCGTGCTCGATGTCGTGCAG